AAAAAAAAAAAAAAAAAAAAAAAAAGGAAACATGCATGTATAAAGAAAAGTCAGTAAAGAGGAAAGGATGAGGACGCTTTGCCTCTCTGGGCATTTGACACAGTACCTGAAGACAGCAATTGCCCATCCCAAATCCCATGGCATCCATGTAAATGTGGTCGGGCTTGGAAGCCTTCGCTGCCTCCTCCTCAGGAAATGCTTCCACGAATGGAGATGGTGTATTCTTGTCCTTAAATACTGTAATATCAAATTAAAGAAAGAGAAATGAAAAAATGGGTGAGATTCAAGTATCAAACAATTCACCAGGTATCCCTCTCATGGTCCCAGCTCCCTGTAGACCTACTTGGTACGTTGATGACAACCTTCTCCCCTCTCCGATGTCGGATATTCCTTGTTAGGGTACTGGAACAAACAACCAAACAGAAATCGGTCACCTAACCACCACCGTGTAAAAGAAGACTTTGATCATACACAAGCAAGTGGAATGAAATCCCGCCTCAAACTAATTCTCTACAGCAACTCTACAGAAGACTTACAGGCATCAAGATACTCCCAGGGGCTTTGCGGAAGGAATGCTTTGCACTAACACCGTGTCCTTTGGACTTTGCCTTGAAAAAGCCATTTTCTCCCGATTCTCCAGCTCCCTGTAACTTACCGAATCAAGTTCAAAGGTTTGTGGTCTGCCATGGCCTGGTCTTACCCCGTGTTTCTAACATGTCCCACGTTCACTCCCAAGACGTGAGTGGTCACAGTCCTTAGGCAGCCTCGGAGCCCCGGTACCTCACCACTCCTGCCCCGAGTCGGCAGCGTTAACAGTCACCCTCTAGGTCTGTGTCTAATCCAGAATCTACCACGCACGGTGGCTACCCAGGGCTTGAAATGTGGCTAGTCCTAATGACAATAAGTGTTATGGGGGTAAAATACCAGATTTTGAAGATTTTGTATAAAAATAGAGTAAAATTTCTTACTAGTAATTAAAAAATATTGGTTACATGTTGAAATAATATTTTGAATACACTGGGTTAAATAAAACATATTCAGTTCACTTTTTTTACTTTTTTAATGTGGCTACCAGGAAATTTTAAACTACAGTGGCGGCTTTATTGGGGCTCTGTTGCAAAGAGCTGTCGTAGACTCAGCTTCAGTGCCACCTCCTCCATGAAGCCTGCTTTGATCCCCTAGTCAGAGGCACCCTGCCTTGTCCAAGGAGGAACTCCAGCGCACCCTCTTTTCACATCTGTCGAAATCTATCTTCTCTTGTAGCTGAGTAGCTCTGTTTTCCCCTTAGCACACTGTAACATCTGAAGTTAGGAACAATCTCTATACATCTTTGTCTCCCCTAAAAGACCCTGCGTGTATCAGGTGTACAATGCTGTTAAAGGAATGAATGCCGAGATGTAGTGTCCCTAACTTTAGGTCAGCGCCTAGGTTCAGGATGATAGGTGAGACTCAAGGTACAAAGCCAAGATCAGACTGGTGTGGGCCCCGAAGCAACTTAAAACCCAAGCATTAAACTACAAACAAACAGACCTGGAAGTTAACGGAACAGAAGGTAGAGAGTGTCTATTATATACGAGGTATACATATTTTACATTAGCAAAGCATACAGAGTGGGATGAGTAGCTCACTTACAGAGGCGGGAATGGTAGAAATAACGAAAGGAAAGCTCCCCCAAAACAGCTGTTTACAGAACCAGGACTGAAAAGATTCATTCCAGAAGACAGCAGCTCAGCTAATGACTCTAAGATGACTTGGAAAATGGGCAAATCAGCCTGGGTGTGAGCAACAACAATCAGTCGGGATGAGGCTGTGAACAGGGAAGGAATCCCAGCATTCAGGACATGCTCAGTAAGGGCAGGACACGGGACTCAGAAGGCAGCGAGATGTGTGCGGGACACCTGCGCTTACCAAAAGCCAACTTACCTGAAGCGCGGGTGCTTGTTTATTGCTTCGTCAGGAAAGAAGAGGGATTTGGAAGCTCCTCCTTCAACCGGGTTGGGTTTGAACTCGGGCAGTGTGAACCCGGGACAGCCTAATCTACAACAAATTCAAGAACTAAATTGACAGGATTTGATTTGGGGAGTTAATGATGTCTCGCCATCACTGTACGTGATATAACACCTCCTGTCTGTCACTCCCCTTTCCAGAGGCTCTGGCACACAAATGTTCTGTAACTACTGCGCCCCTGTAAGACCCTCTCTTTGTACTTTGTTAGTGTGCTCACCAAGATCTTTTGTGATTGCCACCCTTTACTGACTTTACCAGAGAGCTCAGTTCACTCACTTCCTGCAGAGCACGTAGGTCCTACCATCCTTTTGTGGAACAGCAAGGACCGATAGCACAAAAGTCCCTTCCCTTGGTCACACCAACTGTCACTGGTCATCCAAAGTGTCTTCCTTTACTAGCTCTGAACCCTCTGATTATGGTTGGACCCCTGCATTCCATCACTGCCCCCATCTCCTGATAAGCTGTTTGAATCTGGAAGCAGTCTCCTGATTTTTACCTTTGCAGGTCACCTAATAAATTCCTTGTAGATTAGGTAATAAGTCTCTACAGATGCCCCCAAGCACCCCAAGATCTCCCTCTGAGCCGTGAAACCCAGCCCTGTTATCTTACTTGACCCCAATAAGAGCTATAACTCCAACACAGAAAACAGAGCTCTGGATTTATCCCCGCACATCCAGCTCAACTTCCACACACTTGAAGGGATGCCACCAGGTCTCTGAACTGAGAATTTGAAGGCCATTCATAAGGGTGCTGTGAGGGGGAACAAAGACTAACAAAGTTAAGTGACAGCCTAACAAGGGAACCTCTTGTCAGGGCTGAAGATCAGTTGTAGGAAACCTCTGGCTTGAGAGTTAAGACTAGTTCAGGCTTATTTCAACCCCTACCTTTTATAAATTAAGCAACGGTTGGCTGCTATGTCTGTCTTGTGAACAACTGAATTTGCTGATCTTATTTGGAAAACAGCCCCCAGCTGTCAGAAGGGTGCCTGAGAATTCTTGCAGCTGTGTGCATTGTCTACTAGGAGCCTGCAGGTTTGGAAAAGTCCTTTAGAGTGGCAAACTGCAATCTGGGGAATTCTTAGCTAATCAGAATTAGGCTGGATGAAGGAAGAATGACAATGTGTGTTTGGCAGGAAGAAGGCAGATGGAACTCAGATCTTCAGCCTCTTCCAGCACTGTTTTTCTAGACCAGTACTGTCCCACAGGACTTCCTGCAACAATGGAAATGCTTTATCTGTGCCGTCCAGTACCGCTATGGTAGTCACAGCCACAGAAGGCTATGGAGCACCTGAAATGGGGCTGGTGTAATGAGGAAATGATTCTTTCATTGAATTTTAGTTTGATTAATTCAAATTGTCACTTGGCCACTGTTTTGGCCTATAGTTCCACATTACAGAGGATTGCCTTTTTTTCAGAGAAAAATCACACTGTTTATACTTAAGAAACAAAGTACTCCTTTCCTTTTGATCCTGAAATAAAACTTTCCTTATAATTTACTATGGATATAAGGTAAGGCTTCTAAACTAATAATTATTCTTGTTTTGTTTATAAGTCTGAAACTACCTTCCCATAAGTTTTGACTAGACTTTTTTTAAAAAGTTAGATTTTTAGCCTAAAACTTATTCCTCTGTATCAACTCTCCCTTCATAGTAATTTAATAAAAACAAGCTAAATCTTTTTTTTTTAAGGGCAATTATTCCACATGGAACCATTCTCACTTAAGGTAAAAGACACATTAGGTTTAACCAAAAAACTTCCTTCTGTGGCCCAGAAAGAACTATCACTGCCAGTCACTAATATGCATGCCCAAATTCTTAAGTATAAAACACTTCTGGTTTGTGTTATGAACCTCATTTTTTAAAAATTTGCTAAATGAAATGAACAGCACTCTTAAGGTAAAAAAAAAAAGGAAAACATTAAGAACTTTTTCTTACATTCACTCAAAGTTGTTGAATAGCATCTGTAACCCACCTCTTGACCTTTATTATTCTAAAGTCTCATAATAGCTACCTGCACCCAACAGCCTGGACGTCTCCTTTCCACCCCCGGTTTGCTGGTTTTGCCAATTCCTGACCCGTCCTCTTTTCCCATCCCCACCACCCGCCCTCATCAGGCTGCCCTGGTCTCCCAGCGTGAGCCCCTCCTCAGCTCCTAGGAAGCGCTGCCATCTGGCTACAGCCACACTCGCGCTGCAGCCCCTTAGGAGTTAAATCATGTCAACCAAAATCCCGCTAACATGATCTGGCCCAGCAGTTACCTGCCCAGCGTCACTTTACCCTGCACGGCCACATTCTCGGCACCCTACACACACTAGGCCAGCCAGCTTTCCTCTAGTTCTCAGGAGGCTCTACGCTCCCAACTCCTCCTAGAACTTCCGTTCAGGTTGCCCCCTCTCCCTAGGACACCCCTCCCGCCCCACTCCTACTAAACTCCTCCGAGCCCTTTGTACAGCACTCCAGGGATCCCCGTTGGAGAGGCCTTCCTTTGTAGCCCAGAGCCCCCCCTGACAGCGCTGTCCCCCTCGCCTCCTCACAGCTGCCCAACCTGACAGCCACCACGTCTGCGGGTGTTCAATTACTCTCCGTCTCTCCCACAAGACCCATGAAGGCACATGTCCATCTCACAGCTGCGCAGCCACACTGTGCGGGTTTGGTGAGGAGCAGGTACGCAACTACCTGACTGAATGACAGTTCATAATTGTTTTACCTCCTCAAAACAGGACAAAGGGCTGTGCCAGTTCTCTTGCCAGCAAACCCGTTCACCAGCAACAGCTGGAGGCTCTCCCTCTGCAGGGAGAGAGGGACGCGGCCTGTGCAGGCGGAACGAAGGAACCACAGAAAAGAGAAGCCTCTCTAAATGCGTGTGGATGTGCTTAAATAAGGTTTCAATAGTTAGAAGTTACAATGGAGATTTTAAAACAGAAAATTCCTATTAAGTGTCCTTCTAAGACCAATGGTATGACTCTGAATGCCTGTGTTCAATATAGACATTTATCAGATAAAAAAAAGATGGTATAAAAGTAGTTCAAAGTGTTCCAGGCCATGGATACCAATCCCCAAAGGTCTTCTGAACTTTGAGAAGACAACCCTACTCTGTCACAATCTGACAGATATCTAGCACAGATCAGATTTATGATTTGGTAGAACTGCATTCTTATATAGAGGTCCCATGTAAAACTGTACAATATTTATGTAGCTCATTCTAAGAACATAATTTCACTATTTATATTTACTTTGTATTTCCTTCTGTGAATTTTTAGCATTCACTAGATTTGATGACTAGTCCCAAATTCCCTTTTTGAGCACAACACCCAAACCTGACCTAAAGACTCTCCTTGTTCACAGTTAGCAGGTACCAAGAGTACCTGGGGGTCACGCATGCCAGCCCCTCCCACAGGAGACCCTCTGATCTGCCACCAATACCACCATATGCTAGTAGCCAAATAGGCACGAGGCAGCAACTGCTACCATCGAGTGAAGAACCCTTGGTAATTATCAGACTCACTGTTCCCTACAAGGTCAGAACTGCTTGGCAGACGTGCTGGCCCCTCCACCCCAACCCCCACCCGGGATGGCTACCACCACATGGCTCATCAGAACACGGGGGGCCTCATGGCCTTTCCCAGCAAGCCCGGATGAGTGTTCTCACTGCAGTGCTTCGGGCCACCACCCACTGACTGAACCTGACATCTTAATTTTTGCCTGCAGCTCTAATATTACAGATTCTATCCAATGCAGTAGGTAGCACTGTCTGTAAAGTATGAGAACTGTACGGTCAAATGCTTGGGTTATGATCTGTTCTTCTTTATAAGCTAAAGCTCTGAACTGTTTGCTGGGCATGTCAATACAGGTGCTAACCTAGGGAATGAAGTTATTGTGCAAACAGCCTGATTTTCTTCTAATAAAGAAGTTGCCTCCTTCCGACGTTTTCTCATGTTGTCTTCGACTGTGTTGAACTCAGACATCGTTCCTCCGTACGGCTGTCCAGGCGTGCCTTCAATCATGTAGCTCCCGTACTCCGGTCTCCAAAGGGTAGGATGGCTGCAGAGGAGAAAAAGTTTCATTCCATCTTATTCTTTTGCTGTGGCCAACTTAACTTTTAGAACTTAAAAGGTGCTTTAAAAAATTTAGAAACCATTAGGTAGGAGTGAAGCTGAGAACTCCTTTACAGTTCCTAAAGCCTGTTAATTTTCCATAGCTCTTCAACCACACAAGGGTTTAGAAAGTCCTGGGTCCAAAATATGTACAAATACCTGAAAATGCACACAGGGCACTCACTGTCCATGACAAGCTAACCCACTTTGTGGGAAAAGAGATGAGGCCTTATAGGCTCTTTCAGATCAACGCTCGATTGAAAACTCAAATGCTGCCTCCCAAAAAGAGCAGAAAAACAACCTGGAGGGTACATGCCCTCTTCACCTCTTGTGTACTTAAATATTTAAAAAATATCCTGCAGCCAGACAAAACCTGTCTGCGTGTTTTATCTGCACCACGGTTTGTGACCTCAGTCACGCTTTAGCAGTTCTTTTTAACAGTTAATAGTAACAGGCTTTATATTGAGTTTACCATTCTAAATGCTTTAATATACTAATGTGTTTAAAATATCAATACCCTACAAAGTAGGTATTATTATTATCCCTACTTTACAGAGGAGGAAACTGAGGTACAGACAAGTTAAGTAACTTGCCCAAGGCTACCCAGCTATTAAGTGGCAGAACCAGGATTTGAACCCAGGCAACTTGGAGGCAAAGCCCAGGCTCTACGGTGCTAGGCTATCCTGTGTCCTCCGTGTCTGAGGAAAGCGCCTGTGTTAGCAGTTCTGACAGGCTCAGGAATCCTAACGTGAGCCTCAGCTTACTTTGGGTTTGTCTTTTCCCCCCTTTCTTGTAGAGTTTCCAGAACTTCTTCTCCAGACAGGACCAACTGGACTTTTTTATTTTCATGATCAAAAGACACCAACATGTACTCTACCTATTGAAAATAAAGGAGAGAAAGATTAACATTCTTTTAGACTCTTGCTCAGGCCCTTTGAAGCCTGGGAAATATGAAGACTGGAGAGGCCCAGAGTAACTCGAGGCAGCAACATTTGCTTGCGCTACCTCATGAGTGTCTTTTGCATAATATGAAAATCCGGAGAAAACGGTCAGTTCAGTAGTGGCATTGTTTGAGCATAAAAACTCTTACTCAATTTTTTCTTTCCCCTGTTCTATTTAACAACCTATAGAAAGACCAGGATGCCTATACTTCAAAAGAAGAGCATTTCAAGGCTAAGATTCTACAAATTACAGGTGCAAGATGAAGCTGCATTTTAAAATTTATTTCCTCAATTAGCTTACTGTAAGTTTATGAAAATGGTAGTCTGGGCATTCTCATCACCTTAGAGTATGCCCACTGGGAGGTTACTGAATAATCCTAATGTAAGTCCCAGGATCAGCAAGTTGTCACAATCATAAACATTGATATGGAGAAGTTCTTTCAGGAGTTTCAACAACTTAGTTTTAGTTTTTCAATGATTTAAGACAGCTTCCCACTCTGAAACTACATAAAACCATATAAACCATGGTTTTAATGGAAGCATATAAAATTTACTGTGCAAGGTGCACTAGTGCATTTAGAACAACAGCTGGTGGAATTCTGATAAAAACCAAGAGCTGAAGACCAAAATAAGACTCTTCTGGGCAGAGTACAAATAGAACCTGCTTTTGTGTTTCCTGAAATCACATGCTTTACATCATGACAGTTGGTATAGTGAAGATTATGAATCACGATTTATGATTGAAAAAACCCACATTATTATCCAAATGTAAGTGAAAAGGTATGGAATTGGATCATCCAGGCAAATACTTGAGAGCACACTTTGCACAAAACACTAAGACGGAGAAGAGAAGAGGTGGTGAACTGGCGCCCTCACGATGCAGCCAGGTGGCAGATGTACTATTTGGCTTACCATAATATTAAAAAAAAAAGGCAGGCAGCAATAATACATCCACCATCTACCTGAGATTTCAGATGTAAACCCAGATTCCCAGCCTTAAACACAAAGGCCCAGAAACGCAGCACTAGGCCGCAGTCCTGCTGGGCTGGGTAAGGGCGGCTCTCCTCCGAAGGGGATGCTCTGGTCTGTGTAACCTGTTCTCATTTACCTTCACCTGCCTGGTCTTAGAACGAGTTTGAGTCAGCCAACCCTACCACAATTACAGTAACATTCAAGAGACTGTTTTGCCCCTCAGCTAAGAAATATGAAGAGGAAAAAAAAGTTAGTGACTATAGGAAATAGCCTGGCAGGTTTAAAACAACAACAAATAAACTTTCAAATAGCTTTTGTCAGTTGTTGCTATGGACTGAATGTTTATGTCCCAAGTCATATGTTGAAGCCCTTAATCCCCACTGGAGGTTACTTAGAAGTGGAGGTAATTAGGTCATGAGAGAAGAATCCTCCTGATGGGATTAGTGCCCTTTTAGGAGATGAGAAAGAGGATCTCTCTCACCGTGTGAAGACACAAGGTGGCCATTTACAAGCCAGGAAGAAAATACCCACCCGGAACTCAATCTGGTGGCACCTTTGACCTGGAACTTACCAAGCTCCAGAAATGAGAGACATAAGTGTCTGTTGTTTAGGCCACTCAGTCTATGGTATTTGTAACAGCAGCCTGAGCTAAGATAGTTAGTTGTCTTACTGATGAGTTTACGTTCCCATTCTTGCTTCTCTATCAAGATTTTTAACTCAAAAAATAGGTAAGACTTAGGTACATGAGCTGAAGAAGTGATTTTCCCACCTGTACAATCAATGTCAAATGCCTGAGAACTGTAGGCTGCGGAATCTGGAACTGCTCCCAACTTTAAGTACAGGTTTTCAGAGCATCTACAGATCCATGACTCCTGAACAGCTAGAACTTCATGGAACAGGAACCTTTAAGTCTCAGAATGTGTATATAAAAATATCCTAAGTATGAGAAACAAATTTAACTTTAAATAACCGTAATGAGAGGAGGTATGCCATGAATTTTTCACATATGGATCCTAATTTTCCAGCCCATCATGTAAAGCAGGCATGATCACCCATCTTGCAGATGGCAAAGTGGCCCAGAGAAGCTGAGTAAGCTGCTCAAGGCCACAGAAGTCAAAGCAGGGATTTGATCCCAGCCCTGCCTGGCCGCAAGGCCCAGCACAACCTGCTGCTGGGACTGTAAGAGATGCCAATCTTGTTTAGGGATGATAAGCTTTTAAAAGTCATTCTAAGCTATGTGAGGCAGGTATAGGCTATAATGCTACCTGAAAAATCTCTCAAGTTGATTATGCCTCAGTTATGAAGTGGGCCTGATGCTGCGTCATAGAACCTGAGATGAAATAATTACAGGTATAGACTTACATAGATGGTCAGTCCACCTCTTAGGCCCAGGACAGAGCTAATCTGTTCTCTGAGGCATTCCTAACTCTCCCAGTTACAAGAAAGCTTCCTGTTCAGTACTTCCTCCTTTGATCACTGGCTCTCGTCTGCTACTTGCATTATCTTAACCAGATAAAATGTTTCCTGGAAGAAAAATGAAGAGACATTTCTTAGATTGCTGGGTTCCCATCATTTCATCTAGTATTGAAATGAACAAGAATTTTTATACCAATTACATAAGCTAAACTATATTCACTATATCAGTTTCCTCGTTTTGAAATAATTAAAATCCTTTGTTTTTCAGAATCACTCTTGGCCCACAAGTTTAAAGCATGGGGAAGGACAAAAGAACACACTCCATTTAAATATCAGTCAAATGGATGACATTTAAATAGCTGACAAACCAAACTCTGCTTAATTAAAAAATAATCATCCATGATCTCATTAAACAAGTGAAACAAAACACATCAGAATATTTACCAAATGAGAAAAAAAAAAAACTTACTTTTGGATAAAGTCAAAGTTCAGTTAGAAGCCTTAAGAATTCTCTGGACATTTTTCAAACTCAAACGTAAGGTTATCTCAAGTAATAGACACTTAGATATTTCAAACTCAAACGTAAGGTTATCTCAAGTAATAGACACTTAGATATTTCTGCACCAGTGGGTCTGCATTTGGTTCTTTTCAGTTCTTTTATCTCTTAGCTTTATGTTTTCTTTCTTAATTCTTCCCCACCCACTTCAATACATTAATGCTTATTTCCAATCCTGGTTCATACAAGCCCTCAAATAATTCAATCTTTAAGAGTCAAACTAGAGCTCAAATGGAGTTTGGTTCGGTAACCTAGCTGTTGAGTGATAATAAAAAATGATACAATTAAGACAAGGCTTTCCCAGTGTAAAATACTTAAAGCCCAGGAATTAATTTTAGTATTTCTGGATTTTGTGGCCATCCTACATTTCCTTTTTGTATCTAAAGGATAAGAGGAAGAAAATCAAAGAGAAAATAAATAGCATAATAGGATATAGGAGCCCTTCTGTACACAACATAAATTCCAAGGATTGAACTGTACTAACTTCCTAACTCTGAGTAGCATCTAGGCGATCGCAACATCTCTCCATGTACACGGGACCAACCATACGCAGTGATGAAAGCATATACCCAGAAAGCATTATAAATGGGATGCAGAGTGACTAATTCAAATTCATGCAATTAACATACAACTTAGAAGTAGCAAAAATAACCACTGGGTTCAACTCTTGGTACACTGATTACAAGTGCCTAGATGTAACTTTGGGAGGGACTCTGTCATTTGGCACCCATCAGTAATCTTTTTAAAGGGGGGCAGGGGAATTGGGCCCAATAAAAATAACCAACCACTTTGTGAGACGCTCATATCTTTCAATGTGAATAGTATTTCTGGATTTTGTGGCCATCCTACATTTCCTTTTTGTATCTAAAGGATAAGAGGAAGAAAATCAAAGAGAAAATAAATAGCATAATAGGATATAGGAGCCCTTCTGTACACAACATAAATTCCAAGGATTGAACTGTACTAACTTCCTAACTCTGAGTAGCATCTAGGCGATCGCAACATCTCTCCATGTACACGGGACCAACCATACGCAGTGATGAAAGCATATACCCAGAAAGCATTATAAATGGGATGCAGAGTGACTAATTCAAATTCATGCAATTAACATACAACTTAGAAGTAGCAAAAATAACCACTGGGTTCAACTCTTGGTACACTGATTACAAGTGCCTAGATGTAACTTTGGGAGGGACTCTGTCATTTGGCACCCATCAGTAATCTTTTTAAAGGGGGGCAGGGGAATTGGGCCCAATAAAAATAACCAACCACTTTGTGAGACGCTCATATCTTTCAATGTGAACTACTTTCTCTACAAATGAGAATTAAAATCCTTTAGATTGCCTTGCTAAAGGCTAATTTTAATCCCACTATAATAAAAGTCATTAATCTCTCTGGGCTGTTGAATTGAAGACAAAGACACATTATAAGACTATTATGTAGTTAACGTGTTATATAGTGTTGCTAGGAACAGCCTGGACACAAATAACCCTCTAGTCATTTAATGCAGGTTTGCACAAGCATGAGGTACTTTATGTTCATCTGAAATGAGGCCAATAAAAACAAAGAATCTTAACTGAGGGTAATGTAAATACCCAGGACAATGCTGAATATATATAGCAGACAGCAAAATACTTGCGGCATTAATGGGCAAGATAACAGTTAATACTGAAATACTAAAATTTTTAGGATTTCTATGTCTTTAAATGGCATTTACCATTACAAGTTTAAAATCAAAGTTTTCCTTTTTTAAAAAAATAAAAACATTTTGATACTCTACCATGAAGGTAAGGGTTTTAGGGAGCTTAGAATTTGAGGAAAGGCTAAACATTTTATAAAATATTAACTTTTAAAATTCTGCTACCTGGAGGTAAAAACAGTGCTTAATTAGGACAATGATCTAGTTCTGTTAAGACTCAGAAGCAGTTATAGGCAGTTCTCTACTAAGGGAAGTTATACTTTGAGAAGTTATACTTCCTCTGTCTCCAGCCC